AGTTTTTCAAATCAGGCATCAGCTCACAGGTTTTGTCAAGGAAGTGTCTCATCAGTCTGTTCTGCATATCTACAACTAATAAATCAAGAAACTAAGAAAAGTAGAATTTTTTTTTTTAAGAATCTGAAAGAAAAAAAGGAAAGGAAGAGAAAAGCACAGGTCAAAATTTAATAAAGCAATACTGAACAGCAAAACAGAGAGGGCTTTAAAAAAAAGTTTCAAGGCACCTTTGCTTCCTTGTGAGTTCAGGAAAGCTGTATGAAAGAGAAGAAACATCCCTCCATAAATGTTTCTCCAAAGACCACAGTTTTCATGAAGACACAAGCACTACAGTTCTGGATGGTGACAGAGCAGGAACTGAACAGGCAAATAGAAACCTCTGTTGGATATTACCACCCTTTGCAAACAAACCAGAGAACAGAACAAGGCTGTTGCACTTCCCTTCCCATAATGTGTAGGCATGTGCACAAGACAGGCAGCTATAGACTGCAGCACTCCCTTAAGAACTGCTCTGGTGACAGTCTTGAAATGAGCCAGGAAAGTTCATGGCAATGGGAAAGTCTGGTAGATTAAGCATGTCCCTCACCTTCACCAAATCATGCCTGCTATATGCATATAATGCTTGCTTCACATGCATTGCATAGGTCCTGGGAGCTAAAGTTTGAATGTAGCATATAAGAAAAAAAAGTAAGTTTCCCTAAATAACAGAGCTGGCCATATTCCTAGTTTTCCATAAGCTTTCCATGCTATTTCTTGAAAGAAGGAGGACAGGAAAACATGAGAACTAATTAGCCACAGACGGTTATTACAAACCAAACCCACTTGATAAATTTTTCACAAAAACTTTTACTGATTTAAGCCAGAAACCAAGTTCAGAGCTGGCAGAGCAAAACCATTGTATATGCCAGTTTCTAACTCAGTTTAGTTACTGCTATCATTCTCCACTGCATTTGGAGGTCACGCCTGACTAACCAAATTTAACATATTATATCTTCTAGTAACAATGAAACCCCACTTATAATGAAATGCAATCCTTCCCAATTACAATGAAATGCACAGACCTTCCCAATACCATAATTATTCAACTTCCCATTTCTCAAAAAATCTCTTGCATGCCCACTTTAAAAACAGATGGACTGTGTTCCATAGGAATGGCGAATTGTCTCGCATTGTTTGTCTCAAAACATGTGTTTAAAATTGAATGCAGTAGGGATAAAAATTTATTTTTTCATACTCACTGATCTTTCTCATACAAAGCTTCTGGGGAGGATTGCATACAACAGCATGAAAAAAAAGGAAGGAGAGGGGGTTTTTTTGCAATGGGGGACAAGCGTTCTTTCGAACACTGTTAAGAGTATTGAATTTTCTTAGTTTCCTGCTCTCTTCCTCACTTTTCATAGCTGGGAGTTTGGTTTTATGTATTTTCAGTTCTTAGTTTTTAATTATTTTGTTTTTAGAAAATATTGGCACTAGGTTGTATGTATGTAGGTGTATACATAAACTATGATGGATTTCAAATAAAAAATGAGATAAGCAATTAAAATGAGGCTTTTGTGACTTCACACTCACTTCTTCAACAATTTTTTCCAAGGTATGCTCCTGCTCCTTTTAAAAAACCAAATGAAAAATGCACACACCCAAAGAAAACCAAAACAAACCAATCTCTATTTCCCCAACAAGTAATTTTATTCTGTTCTCCTCCTATTTTGAAACTGTACAGAGCACAATCTGACTTACTGTTCTAAATCAGGTTTTAGTTTGTTAGGAGAGGCCTGAATGTTCAAGTCTTTGATTTTCTTTCTACGGGCAGAAAAGAGGCTTGCATAATTAAGGAGATGGGGGTGGAAATCAGAATCATTGACACCCTCACTCAGTTTATATCAAAATCATCAAACTTTCACTCAAGACATAGCAAAACAGCTAACCAAACTTCAGCTTGAATTGTCTATTATGGTAAAATATACATTACAGGTAAGTGTCCATTTAATCGGTCCATGTTATAATAGCTAGTTATGAAAAGCAAGATTTAAATGGAAGACTACAGGTATGCAGAATTCTTTGGGGAAAAAAAATAAGAAAAAAAAAGGCTATTAAGGTTAAATCAAGAATTTCTGTGCTGAAGATCACTATTTAAAGGTGTCTTAAAACTGACAAGTCACGCAGTCATAAGGACCATTTATCAATAAAGTAATTTTAAGATAAGAATCCATGTATGCGTTTTGAGCCTTCACATAACATTTCATCGCTGCAAAAAATTTGGCAGCATAGGTGATGGGACTCTGAGGAATTAAGAATTTGTTTGCTTTATGCTTTTCAAAGATGCACTATCATGAAGGACAAAAAAGAAATTCAGTGAAAACTAGCTTACTGCCCTTTTGAAACATCATAAACTATCCTAGACTATTTCCTGACTCTAAACTAATATCCTTCCATTGTCTTTCCTTTTATCTTTTTTAAGTAATAGATGAAACAAAAAGTATTCAGAGGTCTATGGTTATGGCCTAAACCTTTCCTTATTTTGACAGCACAAGAGGAAAAGGCTTGTCATCATTTTTTTAAAATTAAAAACATCAATTTAAGAAATACTAACAGCTGAGTAGCTAACAATCTTTGAAAATAAGATACAATAATTCCAGTAAAGGCCATTTAAACAAACTTACCATCTTTGATTTTTATCTAATTTTAGAAGCACTAGATAAGCGCTCTCAGGTAAAAACAAACACAGTGACCATGCCACTTTTTTTTTTCCTTCAAGTTCTCAGATTAAGCTACAAATCTCTGCAACGAAAGACCATTCCCACAAATACTCCATTGTCTCTTCATGAAATAAAATTAAGTGCAACAGAGTAAGTCAGCTTTGCTAAACATTTGAATTTAATTAATCGAGCTGGACTAACATCATCCCACTTTCTGAGGAATGTGCATGACAACATAAAGTAAGTAGTATTAGAACAAAGGGACCACTTTGTATTTTAGCACCTGAAATTCCAAACAGCTGCACTGAATTAACATATGAGGCTCCTGATGTCATTACAAAGCTGCAAGAAACACGGCTCATGAGAAATGGGAAGGGCCCCTTTGGTAACAGACAAAAGAAAATACTCAATAAAACACACATTTTGAAGAAAAATAACATCTGTGAATTTCATCAGGCTTCAATAGTCTTCCAAGAAATGTGTCACTGAGATTCTAACTACAATTGTTGCTATAAGCAAGTTTAAGGCAATATAGGCAACCTTTACATTGACTAAATAGATGCAACACTGATTTAAAGAAAGCATATGTATAGTTTATTCATGTGGAAACCAAAAGGTTAGAATTCCTTGATTGGATTGGAATTAACTGGGATAAATCCATAGTTCAGCAGCAAATTATGATGATGCGAAGTTGTGTTTCATTTGAATAGATGTTGCCCTCCCTATTATCTAAATCTCTTGACTTATTTTTCATCTTGTCACTTTACACTCAAAACAGTTGTCAAAAAAATGCTTACAGCTATCATCATCATAGATATTCCTCCTTCAGAACAAAAGAACTATTCATTAAGTAGATATGCTTAACAAAGTGCTGAACAAAGATATAATATAAAAATTTCACCACATTTCACGCCAAAAGCAAACCACACTATTCAGTCTTGCTTTCAGCAACAGAACATAGTGTATACTGTGTAGTGAAAATATTTCACCTACAGATATCCCTACAAGAAATTTAAATAGAATTCCACTCCTTCTGCCCAAACTAGTAAATGCTTTATTTGGTGACTGAATATACCTCTGTCTACATTTCTGCTAGTAAACTAAAACAGGTTAGGCCACTCTTGCCATCTGCATTCTTTACCTACTGGCAAGTCACAGAGTCAGTTGGGACTATATTATCAGCATTGCCCTATGTACACAAAAAACAAGTCAATCAGAATTATTAATGATTAGTAGCATATCCCACAGGTTGCTATATGTTTAAATTTTTTTCTGAAACACAATAACCAGTTTTCCATTTCAGAATCAATACCTCGGTTGAGTGCACAAGAGAAAAGAAAGCAACTGCATTTGCCAGTATGCACCTAATACTGTGAGCTGCAAACAAAAGAAGGAGTTTATTTTCTATTTATAATTTTAGCAGTGATGCTATACAAGATCCTCAGACTCTGACATGGGTTAATTCGTAAAATTACTGAGTCAAATCTAGGAAAGACCTCCAATGAGTTGATACTCACATTCCTCACAATATCAGAAATAACTGATTTTGATTTCCAGGCTTTATTTAAAAATCACCTTTTGACATCTGTGGTTTGTGATAGGTATGTACCACCACCTCTATTTTTCCAGCATGAAAGCAAGACACAAAAATGTGTGAAGTGGCTTGGCAATTCACACAGCAATGCAGAATTGAGATGTAGTATTCCTAATTGCCAGTGGTTGTATCACTTACCTACAACACACAGAGTTCTTGGCTGACACTTGTGCATCAGCTGTTGGTTGCTTAGTCCTAGTAATGACACTAGCAGCTGCCAGTGCTGGTTCAACAAGTAACTTAGAATCCATCTTCCTAGCATCACTCATATTACCCTTGGAGTTCAAACAACCAAACCATGCAAGCCAGAAAAGGCTTAAGGTGTTCCTATCCTGACCAAGTGTGGGTTCCACCAGCAACAGAAAGTAACAGGTGCTAAACAAATCTTATACTACTTGCACTTCCAAACTGACACAAGATATCAGTAAGTTGAAACAAATCATTACTGAGCTGTTTTTGGTTTTTTTCATTTCATTTCATTTTTTTCATTTATTTCATTTCAGAAATAAAAGCATAAAACATGTGCATTACTGGATGGGACAGGACACAGCAACAAGCTTCAGAAATGGATCCCTGATTTGCCAAGCCTTCAGAGAGGAAAGGTGATAGCACAGTATTGAAATAATAAGAGGTTATAGGAGACTACAAGAATAATCTAACCTATAACCTAATAAAACCTGATGGCTATCAGTAGTGCCAAAAATACTCACCAGCTCATAGCTGCTTGGAAGAAAGCAGGGTGTCAGCACCTGGAATAAAAAATTTTAATAAAATAAGGAAAAAAAGATAATACCTTTGGAGATGTCCCAGCTGCACTGTTTGAGCTCCATCCACACAAAGAGGTACCAACCAGATCAGATGCAGAATCTGAGCATCCACCTGCTGCTCTCAGCTATACTATCTACTTTCAGCTCCCTAAAAAGTTAGCACTAGCTCCATGCAAACTCAGTACTCACATACCCTAATCACTGAAACAAGTCAAAGAGTGTTGCAGTGTGTTTCTTGTTAATGGTATGTTTGGTTGTTACCTAAGTTGATGGTTTGGTCCAAATGAGACCCTCCCACCCTATGTTGTCAATCTACCCTGAGTCTCCTGTCAATCTGTTTTAGGCCCACCTCATGCTTGGAATTCCTCTTCGGAAATCCCCTAAACTTGGACGCTTGATTAGTCCATGTGACCCAACCTTCCCTCCCTACCTCCCCCATTGGATGATGATTTTGTGAACCCTGCCTTTTACCCTCCCCAGGATATCTCTGATTAGCTGATGCTTTGTACCCTCCCTTTGAATCTCCTCCCTATTTCAGCTGTTGCACGCTCGCATTTTCTGTCTTTTGCCCCCAAGATTCCCCAGAGCAATAAATCCTCCATTATCCCATGCAAAAGACCGTCCTTGTCTCCTCAGAGCGCAGACTGACAGCCAAAAAGCCGTAGAGCCAGTGCTGTAGTCACACCTCGGGTCATCCTGCTCTGGGGTGTGACCTACTCCTGTCACAGGCTGAAGTGATAGAGCCAGATAAACTCTGGTGAGATGCACTAGAAGAGTAATGTCTTCCCTCACGTCACACAGTGAAACATGAAGGGTTTTCTCCCTTCCTCTATCCTTTACAGCATTATTTAATCATCACCTTAGTTTTAGTTAATGAGTAAGCATTCTGCTTTTCAAGAAATCTAGAATTTCAGCAGTTCCCAACACCTTACCCTTGCTCTGAAACTGACCTTGGGTCATGAGTTTAGCAGAGCAAGCAGAACAGATATTCTGTGGATTTACATATCTTCAGAGATTTGTCTCCAAATTAAAAACTCTTCCTATGAAAAACACAGTCTGTATACATCACACAAGAAAAAACCCAAGCCACCTTATTTTGATATTCAGAAACCAAAACACAAAGAAAGCCAGGAAAAGCATGACTAACTTGGATTACATGATGACCTAGGGAAAACCAAGTGTTAGATTATTTCTACAATCTCATACAGCAGGCATCCTCAAATCTCACACATACAGTCATAAGACTGTAGGTCCATCCATTCACACCACTCAGCTGAACTTCAGTAGTAGTCATCATGCATGCCCAATTTAACAGGTACCTTGAGGATAAGCCCAGTGAAAACTGTTTCATTTAACATGTTCACCTTCAAAATTATGGCTCTCTGGGACAGATTTGCCTCTCAGCCAGCAGAGCGGAGCTAGAAAGTCTGCAGTAACACCTGGACAACAAAGGTGGAGTTTCCTTTCAGAACAGCTGCTGAGTCCTACAATGACTCAATTCACAGTACAACAGAGTAGGTTACTGAGCAGAGGGGGCCTCATGCCTCATGTCATTTGTAATCCTTAGAATAGTAAAAAGAAGATGCAGCCCATGCAACAGAGCAAGCTGCAAGAACAAAAAGAAACATCAGTTCTGTACACAGCACAGGCTGTGTCATAGGGGCTACTTACCTGACTACACAAGGACAACCCATTCCAGCTTAAACTCTCAGGAACAGCTTTTAACCACTAGAATGGGAGAGACAGCATTTGTCTCTGTAAATGGTTATGAAAAAGATCTATCTCCAGTTCTCAATGCTTCTTAAATCATAAATTATTTACAAAAATGAGAAAAAAAAAATAAAAATAGCACATTGTTTCTTCAACTCCGAGCTTCCTCATGATCTCTAGACTACCGCTAAAGAAACCAGATCTCTTGCAAGTTTATCTGCTCTCCCCTTTGTCTCCTCAGTGGGCTTGCAAGTCCAAGGTTTTAATATGCTGCATCTCTGCAGCTCATTTTGTGACTGCCACTCATGATTCATTACTCTATCCTACCAAACACCCATACTTCCATATATGGAAGATGTTAACTAAGCTGTCTTAATAGCATGTCTATTGCTGGAAGCAAGGACATCGTCTGCCTTGGTGACCTCTTGCCTGACACAGCATGTAAAACTTCATATGCTACCTTGAATAACAACCACCAACTCTCCTTGCAAGCCAAAGTGACAAACCACCAAGCAGAGCAGTGCCCAGATAAAAGAAACAAAGCCACATGCACCCTGCACCACCACAACAAGCAGCAAACACCTGCATCTAGGGAAGAAAGACTGTCCTGAGCTGTCTTGACCAAGTGATTACCTTGTACTTATAAACTGGTTTTGTTACTGTTCTAATTAGCAACACCTAAGGTTAAAGTAGATAAACATGAAATGTCAATTACTTTCCTCCCACTGCTAACTAAGAATTCTTAATTCTTAATTAAGAAAGAATTAATGAAAACACCAAAGGAGCTGGCAAGTTAGCTGAGTGGTGCAGTGGAAGAGATGAACTAATATTACATGCTCATGTAATTAATAATGTGAACCACTTATTATGGAATAAAATTATCATCACCGACATACAAAAATATAATCTCTGTTCTCTCCCTTCCCTTCACTGATTAAAACTCTTGAGGAATCAAGCATATCTCTACCCCTATAGCTAACTAAAACACAGCTCTGCTGTAATCTGGCTAATTACAGCTGATTCACTGCCTAAGAAAAATCCATTTTTCTGACACAAGTACACTGGGGACATCCAGTGGACAAGAACTTCAGAAGCGAATTACAGATCTCTGCAGATTTGTGACATCTTATTCAGGCAACTCTGGACTGTGAGAAGATGAGAGCTAACAATAAAAATAGCACTTGATTTTTTTCCTTCTCTGAGCTCCTCTATACCTGAAACAGTTATATATACCAAGCTGACTTTACAAAAAAAAAAATTCATCTTCTGGTTCTGTGTCTTCTGCACTTCCTTTTTACAGAAATCAAGACCCATGTCAAAGACTTTGATGTTCTGCTCCTGTTTCTGATCTACAAAACTCAATGACCCACCCAAGAAGCACTGACTTTTTTTTTTTCTTATAACTCCACACAAAAATAGCACATTTCTTCCCAGATGAAGCAAAATAGCCAAGATCTTGCTGTATCCCAACTTCAATTCTCATGACCAGTTGAAGCAAATCCTTCCACTGTTAATCCAGACACAGGCTAAAAGCAAATGAGTTTTTTAACCTGTTAACAGGTAACAGCGAATATTTTGACATCCAAACAAATTAGGTTGAGAATATATGAGTGGCTCCAATTCTTTTTCCTAGTTTTCAAAGGTCTGGGACACACTAAAAAAATAAGCTTTAGAGAAACAGTATAGAGCTAAAAAGCAAAACAACAAGACTTAAATCCAATAACTACGCAGAGATAGAAAACCAAGTATAAAGGTCTCAGACATTGGTTTAAAAAGTTACACACTGTGTACCAACTGCACAGAACAATAAACTTCAGAAAGTCTTTTCTGGTCCACCTACTGAAGCTACAGCTAATCTTAAAGACATCTACAATAACCTGGTTTGTCAGCTTTCAACAGTTTCTTTATTCTTGTAAGAAATGTACTGCATATGCATTAGTGTAATATATCATAGCTCCACACCAAGGTGGATTTAGCTTCTATGTTTCTGTACAGTCACATATTAAGAAGCAATATCAGAATGTAAGAAAGCTGTGCCTACTTTCATAAAGTTACCTCTTCAGTGCCCAGCACACAGACATAGGGGTACATTGTTAGTCTATTCACAAATAATCAAGCAACTATTTTCAAGACAAATTACCTGTTCTTGCATACACAGTTAATATGACAACATTTTCCTGGTGTGATATTTCCTGCACTGAGCTCTAGCTTGAGAAAGTCCCACATTGATGGAAAAATGATTAAAAATAATTTTTTTATGAAGAATTCTGATTACAATGAATCTGCTGGAAATTTTTCTTCATATGACTGTAACATCAGTCACACCAGTTAATGAGTAACTGACTAACATGAGATAAATGTTAAGTCAAACAAACAAAAAAAAGTCAACAAATGGCAGGCTATCTGGTGCTAGGGAAATAAAATCTGTCCCTGCTTGTTCTTAATAGCAACACCATAATGCCCCCCCCAACACACAACAGTTCATTGGCTGGGATAACCAGTAGTTACATTTCAGTGATTTTTTTTTTTTTCACTTCCAGATGCATACTTCCTTTTTATCTTCTTCCTTTTTATTCTCTTTTTGTAAGAAGCATGTGATTTTTCAGAGGAAGAGCCATCTTCAAAGAATGAGCCAGTTATTACCAAAGGTGCATTTCAAAGTCCAAATCTCAAACACTATTATATTGCTTTTGTAAAAGCAATTTAACCACATAGCTATAATGAATCACTTTCTCCCCAGCTACAGTTTTATCAAGTAAGAAATTCTGGCATGCTTGCACAGATTATGTGTAACACAAACTATGTACAGGGGGAAGAATCTTTACCTAATAAAGTAACCTACTAGAAAACCTGTTGTGAACACTCTAGTTCACTATTTGTGTTACAAAATTAAGGAGAAAGGGTAAAAAGACCAGCAAAATGAAGTCACTGACATCCTGCAAATAGTGTGAAGTTACAGTCATGTTAGTAGATTTTCTGAATGTTACATAGATGACTGTCAGAAGCCTATATGGTAAGTTCATAGATGTATTTAACATGAATTTTTATATATATATACATGGATACACATTTATATACACAATTTATTTTTTTTTTTGTTACATAAAACACACACACCTATTTATACCAATATACACCTTCAGAGTTAAGCCTGGAAAAAGAGTATTTCTCTGGTTTTCTTCTTCCAGCATGCCTGTCAGTTACTGTTCCCCTTTTCCAACCTACCCTCCCAAAACACTCAGGACAAATGCTGGCTTTCGTCCATGCTGTGGTATTTCATCTTGCAGTGTCACAGCCCTGACCTACATCATTAAAGTTCTTCAAGTCTCTGAAGAATACATACAAGGCAAAGACACTTGTTACATAGGTTATTTGGGAAAAATACTTCTAAAAATCCTCTAATGAAACAGAAGGTACTTAGAAGCAAAAATTGATTAGTTTCCCTTGATAACTGTAAACCAGTAAACAGAGATAAAGTCCCTTCCTCCTTCAAATCATGGGATTTGTTCCAAATGAGTTCAGAAGCAAAAGAAAAGAAAGTCAGAATTTGTATGTTGCTAACAGGAGTTAAACCAGACAGCAGAAATCAAGATCTTAAAACTAGATTTTACTGGACTTTGCACTAGCCCTCTGTACTGTGGTTTAATTTGCGAACCTGAACCGTAAAAGCTAGCTAGTGCCTCACCTGATTTAATCTGTGTATAGTTGAAATTATCTGACACAAATAAGTGCAAAAACATAGTATATTTGCTCAAAATATCTCCTTTTGCTACCTCTTAAGCTAAAAAAAAAAAAAAATCAAAATTTTGACAATTGTATGTATCTGTTTGAGACTTAACTTCTCCTTTCTTTGTATGCAATCTGACCTCTCCAAGCTTTGAGGCAGAGATTACTCAGGGAATTATGCTACTCTTTGAGGATTCCATGTGTATGTATTTTGGTACAATCTCCATTAGAAAACATTCTTCATTTGCAAAGGCAAACAAAACTTGCAACATTACCAGATAGGGAGGATGGCAGGGAACAAACTACCAGCATGGATTAAATTTTCTTGAATGGAAACAAACTGTGTACCAGACCAGCTGTATCTCAGAATTCTGGACCTATAATGTAAGTATTAGTCTGGCTTCTCAGGATTTCAGTCTGTTTCCAACATCTGAGTAACAGTGATAAGAACTACAAGCATTATGATTCCTATGGTCATAAATGGCACTTCAGCCAACAGTATCAGAAGTTTTAGGGTGAGAAGACAGGAGTTTTGTCACAACAAACAGCAGATATCACTGCTCAGCCCACATCTAGTGTACATCTAAGACCTAAGATCTGTGCCCATCAAATAAAAAGATGAAAGATAAGATGAGAGCAATATTTAAACAATAAGCATAGGTTAAAATGGGGGAGAAGTGTGGTTTGTTGTTGTTTCTTTTAATACATATTACTGGGTAGAAAGGAATGTGGTAGCAAAGGGCACCAGCAACATCACAGAAAGACATGAAAGCAGAAGACACATGTGAAACTTGCTGGTCAAAAAGCAAAAATCAAAAATGAGTTTGAAGGTCATTTCAGTTTTTTGCTTTATTTCCCTATAGTTGAAAACCATCCATGTACAGGATGACCCTTTGCATCTCCCTAAGGTAAATTTAATGATTAATGTATTAAATCATAAGGAAAAACATCTTTGCATCAGGCAATACTAAGATGCATACAGCAATTTAGCACAGGCCTGATTTCAGTCTGTTACAGAAGGTCTGCAAGAATCATGCCAAAGAGGCAGTGACTTCTCCAGCAGAAAGTTTATAGAAAACATTTGCAAACACTTCTGGAATATGCTTCTTAGCAAGCCAGAAGAGGTTAAATTAGACCAGAGGGTTGTGAACCAAGCAGAATCCTTACACTTTCTCACAAAAAGTAGGAAAATGCCATGTTGTAAAGACGCAGTCCATTCTGTGAGGCCCCAATTCGCCCATTTTTGAAATTGACAGCATTTTGTTGGATGTTGACATGGAAACACTTGAATTTTATGGCATTATTTCTTTCATATATCACAATAGTGACTTTAATAGCTCTCTTGTCACCTTAAAAAACTTCCCTCCTCCCAAAACACATTAGAATAAAGTCTAAAACATTTACATTCCAAATATATCTTCAGTTTTCAAATTTAAGCTACGTGCTGACTGTTGATGTTAGGCTATTACATGCTTTTGGCACTCCATATTCTACCCTTTCCAACAGTTAACACCAAATGGCTAAGAGCTGAAATGAATTTCCTGTTTTAAACATAAGACGCACATACGAAATTATTCATCTCCAAAACAAGTTTAAAGAACCACACCAGTCTCCAGAATCACTTAAATATCATCATTTCTGGAAACTCTAGTTCTATGTAGCAACTACCCAATTAAATCTTTGAGCTACCAATGTTATCAACAAACCAGATTCTTTCTTGTACAACTGGCAGAACTCCATACTGTAATTACTATGTGGAGAACCAAAGCTACTGTGCAAAAAGGGATAAATTACATCATCTGGTCTAACAAAAAGTACATCTTTCTACTAACTGTTCTGCTTCTACCAATAGGCCACCATTACTATAGTATTATTACTAATCATTATTGTATTTATATATTATATATATAGGTGAAATAATATAGGCAATGAAACCCTTTAAAAGGTAATACCTTACTTAAAATTTAATTACCACTGTGTATTTCATCATCTTATTTCATTAAAAAACACAGAATTCGGCATTTACCCAGCATACCACACAAAACAGTGATTTTCAAATGCACATGTACCATTTTTACTCAAAATGGGAGATGCTCAACTAACTGACACTTGTATTTACTACAATTTCCCAAAATGTCCTGAAAAATCTCCAAGTCCCTCACAAAGCAAAGATTCTTCTCTTGAATTTAGTTACACACCTTGGATGTACTGAACTAAACAAATGCTTGCAAACATCAAGGTAACAACAGATACTAAGTCTAGATCTTTGATAGACAGCAAGTACTAATCAAAAGTTTAAGTTAAAAGAAGGGAATATTACCCCACAAAAGTGCTTCTGGCAAAATAAAGTCCTCCAAGACCACTAGATTCAGACTGAATCTGTAAGTGTCTCTTATTTACACAAATCTAGCAATGGGGAAAGTAAGTCACGGGAGACCATGGAACTACCAATCTCATCTAGTGTGAAAGGAACTTGAAGATTTTTTAAAGTAATGAAACTGAACTGACAGAATCTACAGTAATCACTGAAAAGTAATAATATACTTATACTTAATATACTTATATTAAATAATATACTTATTATACTTATACTTCTTATACTTCTTCTAACCCAATGTGAAAAGTTTGCCTTTAAATCTCTGTTGTACAAATTTTATGTATTTATATATTTGTATAGGTGTGTGCATACACACATGCATGGGAGCGTACAGGTGTGCATGTGTCAGAGACTGAAATATTACAGTTTTTGACTTAAACATTTTCATGAAGGACTTCTAGAATTGTTTTACAAAAGCTGCACAGAATACCACCACACCCTGAATAGGCCTTCAGAGTGAGGCCCTGGCACTCACTGATGAAGATAAGATAAAACTCAGGAACTGGGGACATTCACAAAGCACAGGCTTAGCACCTTCAGCAATAAGACCACAGCCCCAGGGCTATCAGCTGCCAGGCTTTAACAGACCCTTGCACCAAAGGGTGGGGGAGAGAGGCTTTTAGTGTGTGTAGGAAAGGCTTCTGGTCAGAGGTAGTGAACATCCTCTGATGTGCAGACCAGCTCAGCTGAGGGACCCTTCTCCTAGGGGAAAGCTTATCCACTGCAGAAGGGGGTGTCATGGCCCATCAAATGGCTCCCCAGACCCTGCAGCAGACCACCAGAGATAATGCAACAGATCCTTAGTGTTGCAAGTGTCAAACTGGTGTTCCCACCTGGCCCAAAGCTTGTATTAATCCACAAAATTCTATACTCTTCAGCTTCTGGCGGCATGGCGTGGGACCCTTACTACCAAGAAGACCAGATGGAGGGGCGCAACGAGACATCACTGGAACCCTCAGATGGGTGATATGCTTCTACCTAACCCCTGTCATTCTCTCTCCCCCCACCCCCCAGTCTCACTTTTTTATCTACCTCTTTCTTTCTCTCTGCCTCTTCTACTATTAAATAAAATACACTAATTTTTTGGCACTGACATCTAACCTTGTTTAGTTTAAATCTCATTTTTAGGTATATTTTGAACCTTCTAAATTCTTTCCAGTTTATACACAGAGAATTAGTGTTCTTTGTCTTTCTGGGTTTAAACTGGATTACAACAGCATGTATACTTAAGTCACTCAGATTTTTTTTTCTTTTCTAGCAGAACCGTGTGGTTTGTATTTCACCCACTTAACCTGATGTTTTCAACTTAAAACATCTCCTCCTGTGGGAAGAATGAGAAACTCAACCACTGGTGCTAATTTTTCAACTATAGATTTATTTTTTTTCCTCACAAATTAGTGGCAAGTACAATACCCCAGCTAGGCATCTTATTCTTAATAAATTCATACAGATTTTGTTGTCTAAACTTTGAATACATGTAGATCAAAAGCAAGAAGGGAGGCCAAAAACCATGCTTACCTTTTCTTCACATTTCCTGTGGCAGGCATACTTGCAAACTAAAACAAAACAAAAAAAAACACATAAATGAGTAAAAGAGTAGGTGAATTGTCCCATCCATTTCTTTAGATCAGTTTTCTATAAGAGATCTGGCCAAACTCAAGTCTCTATCTATAAAAGTATTTACATACTTCAAAACAAAACCAAACTAAAAAGAAAACATGCGTTTAGTTTTCACCCATTCCTGAAAGACTAGTTAATTACAGCAGCGTTATCAGATTTGTGCATTTTATCAGCTCATGACACCGTGTGTCTGGTTAAACATCATGAGTTGAATATCTTGACACTTACCTTTAAAGCTTCACATAGACCAGAAGTGTTATCATTTAAATAGCAGAGATAGTAAGATCAAACTGTTCCCAGTGTAACCACTGAATCTTAGTCATATCAGCAGCCCCAGAGACCAAAGAAAAGCAGGCTGACTTCAAATTCACAGACAACTAGTACTTGCCAGACTGTAATTTCTGATTATGAAATTCAGGTTATACAGTGTTGCAAACATTACTTTCAAGAGGAGAGCACTTGATTTCTTTTAAATTCCTTCTTCTGAAGAGCAGGAAAGGATGAAATGTACCAGCAATTTTAGATTCAGGAAACAGCATTTAACTTAAAAAGCAGCCAGATGAGCAGTGATGTAACTATGACGCAAAGCACAATAGCTATAATCTAACACAAGCTGGTTTTTATTTGATTTTCCATATGCACTTCCTCCTTTACTCTGAAATGTGCTTTGATTCCATGCAGTGTCTATCCTTTGGGCTACCATGAGCTAACCTGTATTTTAAACTGAGGGAAAATTTACTTATTCAATCTCCAAGATCAGTAAACTGCAGAATACCATAGAGGTTTAACTGAAGATTAACTGTGGTGTAACCTCAGACCACTGAAGTTGAAAGTCATGCTTGTTTCTTGGTGCTTCCACAGCAGCCTGACCCTACAGGAAACATACAACTACCAGAACATGAGGTCAGCAAATTCTCTTACTCATTTCAGACTCAAGTGCAACAACAGCTGAATGAAAACCCTCATGCCTCAGTCACTGCTCAGGGGAAAAAAAAAGTATGGCTTACGGACACATCTCCTATTCTATCTCGTACATGCTATGTTCACTTATTTTCCCCACATGTAAGCTACGAGCAAGTTCTTCATTCATAGTGCTTTACAGGATCAAAATTCTTTATCCTTAAAATTTATTAACATTCACACAAATACACTATTAGCATTGATAATGATCTATACCACTTAAAAACTCTATCAACTTTAAAGCAAATGGAAGGCTGCTCTTAACCCATGAGGAAAAACTTAATTTTCTTGCATGACAGCATAGGGAATAAATGGCTAAATTCATTAAGTGATTTCACATACCAAAACTGTCTATTTAGTAGAATCCATATTTTAAATCAGTATGATTAGCTTTAACTTTGCAAAAGGCTAACAGATGCTCTAGAAATATGCATAGTATCTGCTTATTCTATAAGATACTTCGAAATTTCCTCCAAAAACAAAGAAAACAACAACAACAAAAAAAATATAATAAAATGGTGAATCTGTCAGAAAGCCCTGATATTACTTTATAGATGCTTAAACATAGATTTCTGTGAGGCAAGATGAAATAAAAACCAGATTTCATTCCATTACAACTTCCATGATTTTGCTACTGGTTCATGTAAAACACAAAACCTCTACTAAGGATATCAAATGCAAGCATTAATTTATTATTTTTTAAGTTTCCACGTACAAGAAAATCAGTGTTTTCTGCACTTGTGAAACACAACAGTTCTTAGAGTTTTTCTGGAAACAAATCACTTAAGTCAGATGTGAACTTAACCTGGACAGCAACTTCAAGACCCAGTCTTTCAGGAGCATCTCATTCAAATTCATAAGCAGTACCAAAATACAGCATAGAAACTCCATACATAATTAAAGTGAGAATACTTCACAAAGCTATATTGCTATATTTATGAGATTCGAAGGAAAAAAAGCCTAAAGCCTCCACAGGTAATTAGTTAAATACAGTCAGGTAAAGCTCTCTAACTGTAACAAACTGTATTATTTCAGTTGTTTAGATTTATAACATTCTGAGCATAGAGATGTGATTCACAAAAACTGCTTCACTCCTCCTCAGCATCCAGAAACACTCTAAGTATATTTAAATCCAGTACTTGCATGGATTAGACTGTGTTAAGCTATTACCTTCTCTTCTTCACTATCTAGTAAAGCTGATTATGAGAACAAAAATGATCAGATCACAGACTGTGCAGATGCTGGGAGCAAACAAAGCATTCCTTTGTGCTCATATGCAGAAAGGAGGTTCTCCATCTTCCCTCTCAGGAGAACTTCAAACTGCTCATTGCATACCTTTCACCTAAAAGGCACACCTGCTACATCCCAACAGAAATGGATCGCCAGGCATAATTGATCCAAACTCCAATTCCCTTTTCTTGACAGGTCTGAATTTCACTAGTTTCTGCCCAGAACAACAAAACTTTAAATGATTAGGGCCATTTTAACCAACTATTCTTTGCATTTACCAGATGTTCAAAATGTACAATGTAATTTACATGTGTACTACTGAGGTACAGTAAGCATCACAAGTTTTTGTTTGCTGGTAAGGTAATATTTTTAGGAATATAAGGTTCTGTATATGTGTTTGTAGATATAAACACATGTGAATGTATGCACACAAATATATAAACACATACATACACATACTCCAAAAAGCACAGAAATCTTGCTTTTAGCAAACATACACTCAGTGGCTAAAACCAATCTTAAAAAACAAACAAACAAAAAAAAACAACCAAAATAAAACACATACACATGGCAGGAAGACGGGCAGGGCAGAAGAAGTAGCAGCAGCATTTGAAAGAGATGAAGATATTAAGACAGTCCTATTAATTTGCTGTAAGGAAGCATGCAGACACATCAAGAAAGTGTGAATGGAATACGGCCATGCTTCAGCAGTCAAGTCTCTAAGCATAGACAAGTACTGGAAAGAAGCATCATTGCCTTCCCAGGCACATCCTTTCACAATGCAATTCATATGGGTTTCTCCATTACAACTGCTAGCTTCCCAGGCACATCCTTTCACAATGCAATTCATATGGGTTTCTCCATTACAACTGCTAGCATCATGAACAGAAAAAGATCACTCCCTTCACCAACACCAAAAAATTAAATGTTTACCTATAGAGTAAAGTGTACTCTATAGCGAGAAGTGTACTTGTTTCATATTTCATTATTCAGAATTCATTGTGCCACAGCTATGATGAATTATGCTCATAGTATGCTAAGGAAAACACATGCAACTTACATTTAAAATATATCAACAAGCATCTTATATTGAATGCTGGCATTCTTCAGGCAAAGCTTACAAGTGAAATGGCACTCAGCTCTTCTCAGGACTACAGCCTAACTGTATTCCAATTCTAAAACAGGCCTGAAACAGTGCAGAGGACTTAATGCCACACTCTGCAAGGCTACTTCAGTAAAACAGCTGAATGTATCCCACACACAAGCTCTCATCAAATACCAGACTTTCCAAATTTATGTTCAAAGATCCTAGCATCAGCTCCAAGAATAACTGTCCCATGCTGGCTAGTAGTAAAATGGAGACCAAGCCATATTTAGTCAATTTACTGCACTTCTAAACAATTCCTAAACAATCAGGGGAAAAAAGGGAGTAAGGGTAAGACATTTCTTTGTATCGAAATGAAAATGTGTTAACTCCTGCAAGTTACCAATATTGCTGCCAGGGTAAATTGGGAAGGATAAGCATAGTGAGTCATATTTTTCAGTCATAAGCCCCAAAGGTTTTGTAAAATGAAAGTTCTGTTTCTTACATTCTTGTGTGTAAGAAGCTCTCTGAAAATCATTAGAAATGTATTTACAAAGTAAAAAACTACTGCTGTAAACTAACCACAGAATGATTTATGGTTTACCAAGACAAAGAGCTTAACCTTTTCTCTGTCAGGTAAGGGCTCTGCACCTTGACACATCTAAGGATTTCATGAACATATGTTATGTCAGTATGTTTCATATATTCCATCACACTGCACACATAGTGAATATGGCTGGTTTATAAAGACAACCTCGCACTTAAACACAGCTTTTATCAAGTGATTCTCTGTGACAAGTTTTTGTGGTTTTGTTTTTAAACAACACTGTGTATGGCAAGTGTAGAAAGATCATTCAGGAATACTCTTGGGGTAGAAACTTGCATATAGAGAATCAAAGATATGTAACCCAGTTTAATGCCTTTCTAATCCCAAAGAAAAATTACTTGTTCCAAAAACACTCACTGTACAGGCCTGGATATTAATCTTCAACTTCCTGGTGACAAAATAAACTGGGATACCAAACCACAGGCCTAGATGTCTGAAAGATGCCTTCTATCCCTCAGCATTTCCAAGTCAGCAAAAGAGACACATGCTATTAAAGATAGGTTTTGACAGTAATAGAAGTCCTTGAAAATTCACAACAGAATGTAATCTGCATATAAAGCAAATAAAAAGATTTGTGCAATCAAGACTTAAGTTTTACAGTTCCAAATTCCAGACTTCTCTCTTAATACCAGGACAGACAGGTGTCAGAGGGTAACAGAAGTGGTGGAGTCCAGCTATTTTAATATGTAGACCAGTGATACTGCTACTGAGCAACAGCTCACACCTGCAGGAAATGTCCTTCACAAAATATCAGGCCTGTCATTGGCTCTGAAGAAAATATATTTTCTTTTTCTTAAAATACCTTGATTTGGTTTCTGAAAATGGAAAGTATGGCCACCACAACAGGATCTCCTTGGGGCAGAGGAGAAGAGGCTATCTATGACCAAAATCTCCCAAATGACTAATGGCTACAGTAAACCAGTCTGGTTGAAATGGCTTTGTGGATTAAATGTTGTTACAACTGCAGTTTGGTGGCTATTTTTATTTCAAAAAGTGTTTAATAATGCTGTGATCAAATTTTTAGAAAAAACTCATACCGCCACACATTTCTGCTG